TCTAGAGGGTGTGGCCAACACCCAGAGTCTGCAGGGTAGGGCCATTGCCTAGATGCTCTCAAAGAACAGATGATTACTTTCAAACCTTGAGAGCTAACATCATTTGTCCTGTGGGTTTGGGACTTGATTAGTACCTGTTATCCCTTCTTTCTGTCTAATTTCTCACACACATAACAGAAATGTCTACCTTGTGCCTGTTCTACCCTTGTACTTTGAAAGTAGGAATTTTGCCCAAAGATGGAATATGCCTAAAGTCTCACCCATACTTAATCTACATGATTTGGAAGATGACATTTTGGACTTGGAGTGGATTTAAGACTTTTGGGATGATGTGATGGTGTGAATGTGTGAAGGACATGAATTTGGGGTGGAATGTTATGCATTGAATTGTGTCTCCCATAAAGTATGTGTTGTTAATTCTTACCTGTGGTTATAATCCCATTTGGGAATGGGTTGTCTTTGTTATGTTAATGAGGCAAGATTAGTGTATGGTGTGTCTCTAATGAGATATAAAAGAGACCCACCAGCCACTCCTCAGAAGGAAGATGGGGCTATCTACTTCCGTAGTGATACTGCCTCAGAAACCCAAGAAGGGGTGGCTATGAGTCGGATCCGACTTGACGGCACATAACAACAACAACAAACAAGGGAGCAGAACAGAGATAGGGAAAGAGAGATGCCAAGCAAAAGGTCAGTTCAAAAAGACAAAGTAAAGTATTATAATGAAATGTGCAAAGACCTGAAGTTAGAAAAATAAAAGGGAAGGACGTGCTCAGCAATCTCAAGCTGAAATAACTGAGGAAAAAATTGAAACCTTGTGCTGTGATACTGAAGGATTCCATGGGCAAAATATTGAAAGATGCAGAAATTGTCAAAAGAAGATGGAAAGAATGCACAGAGTCACTGTAGTGAAAAGAATTGGTCAATGTTCAACCATTTTAGGAGGTAGCATATGATCAAGCATCAATGGGACCGAAGGAAGTTCAAGCTCCACCTAAGGCACTGGTGAAAAATGATGCTCCAGGAACTGATGGAATATCAATTGAGAAGTTCCAACAAATGGATGCAATGCTGAAGTGTGCATTCCACTATGCCAAGAAATTTGGAAGACAGCTACCGGGCCAACTGATTGGAAGAGATTCGTATTTGTGCCCATTCCAAAGAAAGGTGATCCCACAGAATGTGGAAATTATCGAGTAATGTCATAAATACCACATACAAGTAAAATTTTACTGGAGATAATTAAAAAAAAAAAAAAATGGTTGCACCAGTACACCAATACAGAACTGCCAAAAAAATTCAAGCTGGATTCAGAAAAGGACATGGAATGAAGGATATCATTGCTAATGTCAGATGGATCTTAGCTGAAAGCACAGAACACCAGAAAGATATTTGCAAATAATCCGAGAAGCTGATCTATATGAAGAATGTGGCATCAGGATTGGAGGAAAAATCATTAATAACCTGCAATATGCAAATGACTCAACCTTACTTGCTGAAAGTGAAGATGACTTGAAGCACTTACTGATGAAGATCAGAGACTATACAGTCTTCAGTGTGGATTGCACCTCAATATAAAGAAAGCAAAAATCCTCACAACTGGATCAATAAGCAACATCATGATAAATGGAGAAATGGTTAAGTTGCAAAAGATCTTAATTTACTTGGATCCACAATAAGACACATGGAAGCAGCAGTCAAGAAACTAAATGACAAAGTGCACTGGGCAAATCTGCTGCAAAAAGTCTCTTTAAACTGGTAAAAGGTAAAGATATCATTTTGAGAACAACGGTGTGCCTGACCCAAACCATGGTGTTTTCAATCACCTCATATGCATGCAAAAGCTGAACGACGAATCAGAAAGACTGAAGAAGAATTGATGCCTTTGAATTATGATTCTGGCAAAGAATATTGAATATACCATGAACTGCCAGAAAAATGAACAAATCTGTCTTGGAAGAAGTACAGCCAGAATGCCCCCTAGAAGTGATCATCTCGTGTACTTTGGACATATTATCAGGAGGGGCTAGTCCTTGGATAAGACAGAATGCTTGGTAGAGTGTCATCAAAGAAAAGAAATAGCCTCAATTTGATGGATCGACACAGTGGCTGTAACAATGGGCTCAAACATAGCCATGATTGTGAGGATGACACGGGACCAGGCAGTTTGGTGTTCCTAAGAGTCAGAACTCAGTGGCATGTAACAATAACGAGAGCCACATCCTTGGCCTCCACCAGATGCCAGTGGCACCTCCCCTCCCCCCAGCTGTGACCACCAAAAATATCTCCAGATATTGCCAAATATCCCCTGGGGAGCCAAATTTTTCCTGCTTGAGAACTACTGGGCTTCTGGCTACTTTATTGGACAACACAATTCTAGAACATACTGAATATGTAAATAGCATCTGAACTGAGTGAGTGAATTGGCCCCTATTCCAGGGCAGTAGTGGTTTTAGTTTAAGAACAGTGAGGTGAAAAAGCACAGACTTAAACAAAGAAATGCCTTTCATCTTCATTCTTCTATGTAAGGAAGATGGAGCCAGGGTAGGGATATTGGGAAATTTTGCCTCCCTCCAAACTCCTCAAAGCCCATTGCCATGGCCTCATAGCGACCCTGTAGGACAGAGTCGATAGGGCTTCCAAGGCCATAAATCATTACAGAAGTGGACTGCCACATCTTTCTCTTGCAGAGCCACTGGCCAGTTCAAATTTGACACTAACCTATTGGCAGCTGAGTGCTTAACCACTGCACCACTAGGGCTCCTTCAAAACTCCCTGGGTGTTACATAAATGAGCCAAAGATCAACTCAGTATTGATCCCAGTTTGTTTACTTCTTCATAGCAAGCTAAGGCCTGTGAGTT